TGCAAAAGATGCTAAAATTAGGCCATTCACTGTCAAGAAAGCGTGCTCTGAAGAGAAATCCAAGGACGTACCTGGACAATCTCTTGCTAGTACTTGGAACAACCAAAGGTCAGAGTATTCAGTCACACAAAAGGCCCTTTGGAGAGATTAGCTGTGTGACTCATGGCTCTCCTCAGCCATCTAAGCCGAAACCACGAATAGAAATAGGATCATCCAAAAAGATTTGTGGAGGTGCCTCTTATCTAATAGAGTGAATCCCAGAAACATACACAGGAGACCCACAGGATTCTTTTTTTTTTTTTTTCTTTTCGTGAGGAGATCAGCCCTGTGCTAACATCTGCCAATCCTCCTCTTTTTTTGCTGAGGAAGACTGGCCCTGGGCTAACATCCGTGCCCATCTTCCTCCACTTTATATGGGACGCCACCACAGCATGGCTTGACAAGCAGTGCGTCAGTGTGCGCCCGGGATCCGAACCGGTGAACCCCCGGCGGCCGCAGCGGAGCGCGTGCACCTAACCGCTTGCACCATCAGGCTGGCCCCCCACACGATTCTTGAGAATGTCATACAAGCAGGGACACTGCCAGCTTGTACTGAAAGGGACAGAGACAGGGCAACAGGAAAGAAAGCTGTCAGACTCCCAAAATGTACAACCGGGAAACTAACAGCTGGAAACATATGGAAAAGGAAGAATAACTCCGAGGGCAGGGCTGTGAGGCCAGAAGGCAGAGCCAGGAACCACAAAGGATTATTCCCAGGCCTTGAAACCTAACGTTATTTTCCCAGCTGGACCTTGAAATTGCTTCAGAACTCCTTTTTTCTTTCCATTTTCTCCCTTTTTGAATGGGAATGTCTATAACTGTTATCCTATGCCTGTCCCACTGTATTTTAGGAACAGATAACTTGTTTTCTAGTTTCACAAGTCCACAGATGGAGAGGAATTTTCCCAGTCCCAGACCAGTCTTCCTGAGGTTAACAACAGATCCCCTTGTTAGAATTGGATTTTGAGTTTTCCTAAAACTCTTCAATCACAGCCAAGTCCGAGGTTGTGTCATTTCAATAGATGGCTGGGCCCACCTGTGACAACTTGATACTTTCTAGTCTTCCCCAGCACTTAAACATGAAGGCTGGTCTTTTTCTATTTTTTTCTTACCACAATCCAAGATAAAAAAAAATGTATTTTATATGACCATTCAATGCACATATATATATACATATACTTTGAAAATAAAAGTTTCACCACACCCTAAATTTTTCTATTCTTTTTCTTTGAAAATGTCAGTCTTGACCCAATAATTTATATTACAATGTTTCATGACCCACAGTTTGAAAATTATTGATCTATTTTCTCCTTTCTTCAAAATTTCACTTCTCAAACACAGGTCTTTCTTGGCTCTGGTTCGTTCTTTCTTTTCTTTTTTTTTTTTGCAGGGAAAGATTTGCCCTGAGCTAACATCTGTTGCCAATCTTCCTCTCTTTTTTTTTTTCCTCCCGCCCCAAAGCCCCAGTACATAGTTGTACGTTCTAGTTGTAGGTCTTTCTAGTTCTTCTATATGAGCCGCCGCCACACCGTGGCTACCAACAGACACATGGTGTGGTTCCACACCCAGGAACCGAACCGAGGCCGCCGAAGCAGAGCATGCCAAACTTTAACCACTAGGCCATCAGGGCTAGCTCTTTCTTTTTTTTAATAGTCAAACATCTTGAAAGAGTGGCCTGCTCTCCACTGCCTCATCTTTCGTTCACACCTCAGTTGACCAGGTTTTGTCTCTGACCCTACCCTGCCCTGAAGCTGTCCTCACTGAGGTCTCTAACACCTTCCTTGTTGATAACCGCCACATCTTACAACTGTTTTCTCATCTGGGCTCCCAGCATCCTTTGACGCGGCTAGCCACTCCCTCCTGAAAGCTTTCTCTTGCACAGCTTCCTGAGGCCACTCTCTCCTAGTTATGCTCTTACATCTCGGCCTGTTCACTCTCAAGATTCTCTTCCGAGGCAGCCCTGATGGCCTAATGGTTAAAGTACAGCACACTCTGCTTTGGCGACCAGGTTCGGTTCCTGGGCGCGGAACCCACACCACTTGTCTGTTGGTAGCCATGCTGTGGTGGTGGCTCACATAGAAGAACTAGGAGGACTTATAACTTGGATATACAACTATGTACTGGGGCTTTGGGGAGGAAAAAGAGAGAGAGAGAGGAAGATTGGCAACAGGTGTTAGCTCAGGGCAAATCTTCCCCAGCAAAAAAAAAAAAAAAAGAAGATTCTCTTTCGCTGCCTATGCCAAGAGGCTCCCCAAGGCCTGTCTCTTCTCACTCCATGCACTGTTTATGGGTGCTTTTATTTCTTCTCGTGTGGGACCCCTGAGGGGTCCCAGGCCCTTCTCTTCAGCTCTATCTTTCCTTGTATCTAGTACAAATCACAGGGCACAGACTCTGATGTGAAAGTTTCCAAACTTGGCATTTTCCTTACTTGAAAACCTAAACATTTGAAACCCCAAAGCTTTTGTCTGCTTTTCAGCAGTGATAGTTCTCCTCTGAGGTAATAGGTGCCACTGAATGAAAGCGAGAGAAGGCCAGGGGTATAAAGAATGTGTGTATATGTGTGCTGTGTGTGGAGGGGAACAGTGGTGGGAAGCCTGAGCAATATTTGCAACAGATGTTGTAGTTGATTCCCAGCATCCATTCCATCCAATCCATTTTGACGATTAGCTGAAGCCAATCAGTGGCTTTCCCCTGGAAACTGTCATTGCTCCAGAAATGGACACACCAGCGACATTAGCTAGACAGCCTAAAGGAAAGGACTTATATGTCACACCTGGGAGGAGGTTTTTCTCTTTCCTCCACTAGATGTGAAGAGAGAAGCATTACCCACTAGCTGCTGGCAGCCATCTTGGGACCATGAGAAGAACCATCCCGAGGGCAAAGCTCCCCTCCAAGGAGGAAGGCTGAGCAGAGCCATGGACAGAGCCTGGGTCCTTGATGACATCATGGAGCTGCTGAATCAACCAACCTCAGAGCCCACCTACCTCTGGCTCCTTGTTACATGAGATATTTCTTTACTTTCTTTCTTTTTAAACGAATGGAGTTATATGTTACTTGTAGCAGAAAGCATCCTGATAGATTCAGTATCTCAAAATATCCCCTCGTACCTGAACTCCAGACCTGTGGATCCAACTGCCTGCCAGCCCTTCCTCTTGGCCATTCCACAGCATCTCACACTCAGTAAGTCTAAAACTGACCGTTGTCTTGGGCCCCCACCCCTCCCTACTCCAATCTTCCTGGTTTATGGGAAAGGTCCCACCATCTGCCTGGTTGTTCAAGCCAAAAACTTGGGTCATCTTTGCTCTTTCCCTTTCCCTCCTACTGCCAATCTCTCCTTAGGTACTGCAGAGTCTACCTCCCGAACGTTTCTCAAATCCATCCACCTCTCTGCCCCCCATCATCTCTTGCATGTTTCATGGCAGTGGCTTCTGAACTGCTCCTCCATCTCCTTCCAGTCGTTTCTGCACACTACAGCCAGTTGAGCTTTCTAAACTGCAGATCTGAATCCTTCACCCTCCTGATTAAAACGCTTAAGTTTCTTTCCCTTTTCTTTTTTTTTTTTTTGTGAGGAAGATCAGCCCTAAGCTAACATCTATTGCCAATCCTCCTCCCTTCCCCCCCCCCAAAGCCCCAGTAGATAGTTGTATGTCATAGTTGCACATCCTTCTAGTTGCTGTATGTGGGACGTGGCCTCAGCATGGCCGGAGAAGCGGTGCGTCGGTGCGCGCCCGGGATCTGAACCCGGGCCGCCAGTAGCGGAGCATGAGCACTTAACCGCTAAGCCACGGGGCCGGCCCTCTTTCCCTTTTCTTTAGGATAAATTCCAAATGCCTTAATATGGTATATAAGGCCCTCTATGACCCGGCCCTCATTTCATCTTTCCAACCTCAACACCGTTCTTTCTATCCTTCATTCCAGTATCATAGAACTTTCACTTTCCAAACTCGCTCTCTTACCTCCTGCCTGATATATCCACCTAGAAAGCCCTCCTCCTCTCCCTACTCACCTGACTCCTGCTCGTTCTTCAGTGCTCAGTGTGATGGCGCCTCATTTGAGAAGCCATCCCTACCATCCAAGGCTGGTTAGGGGCTCCTCTTCATGTTCCCACCCCACCGTCTCCTTATCCTGGTCACAGCGCTCATCACAAGGTAGAATTTTCTGCAGATTTGTCTATCTCCCCGCCCCAGACTGTGAGCCCCTTGAGAGCAGGGCCTCTGGCTTACTTCCTGCATCTAGCACTGTAATTGAGTGAAGAAGATCATTTTAAATTCAGAAGTAGATTTGGACTCGAAGGCAAGGGTAGGGTGGAGTGGAGTTGAGGGATGGCATAGAAGTAGACATTTTCAAGCAGGGAGAGGAGTGGTGGTGGCAGAATCTGAGCTGCTGGCTAAGAGCATTGAATAGGTTTAGGCGGGTGGCAGGGCAAGGCCAGGAGCAAGAGACCATTGAGGCAGATAATGTTATCCAGGCAAGAGATGATGGTGGCCGGACTAGGATGGTGGCAGTGGGGATGGAGAGAACTAGACAGACTTGAAAGAGTTAGGAAGTAGAATTAACAGAATTGGAGGGGAGGTGAAGAAAAGAAAGAGAGGAAGATGCAGTGAGTTCTAATTTGGGCAACAGAGGTCCTAGTGGTGCCTCCTTCTAGGGTGGGGAATCCAGAAGGAAGAACATGATCACTGATGGTGGAGAGGGCGATGAGGAGCTCTGTTTTGGACATGTTGAGTTTGAGGGGCCTTTAGGACACCAAGCAGGCAGCGGGACATTCAGGGCTGCAGATGGGGAAAAGAAGTTGAAGGAATGAACAGAGGTAGGAAAAAAAACCAGAAGAGTAGATAGGAGTCATAGATACCAAGACAGTGGGAGCCAGAAAAGAAATGACTTGAGACAAGGGGAAAATCCTGCTGAACCTCCTCACCACAGGCCCCCCACTTCCCCAGACACAAACGCACTGGACAGGGTTCTCCTGACAGCAGTTTTATTTGATTCAAAAGTGAAACTCAGACCCTGGCCCACTCACGATCATGGGGTCACGTCAGGAGTAGACTAGTCCTAGGGATCAGTGGCCTCTTACCACGACGAGAAAAGGGGAACATATGAGTCATGTCTATGTGTCAGGGCAGGGAGAGGCCCAGCTATAGCTGCTGGGTAGGGCTTGGCCACGGGCCAGGGAAGGGGTGACTGGTGCCATCCCCAAGACACATGCAGAGGGAGAGGAGACTAATTCAGGACTGGTGTTAGGGTTCGGGCTTAGAGTAGGCCTGGGGCAGGGTCAGGGAGCTCTGGACCAACGGGTTCAGTAGCTGTGGGTAGAAGACTTGTCCAGCTCACTGCGCTGCTCCTTCTGGGACTCTGTCACCACCTGCTGGGGGCAAGGCATGTGAGGGGCACAAACCATTCAGCACCACCCTCTGTCCAGCCCCTTTGGGACATGGTGTCCTCCTCCCTGGCATAACCAGCTGAGGCTCCAGTCTATCCATCCTCCTTCTCTATCTCCCTCTCTCCCTCCCACACCAAGAACCACTAACCCACAATACCCTAAGATCAGCTGCAGCCAGGCTGGGCCTCAGAAACAACATGGGAAACGATGGGGTCCAGGGTTCAAGTGACCCATCTCACCTCCCCATTCTGGGTCTCAATGGTCTTGATCAGAACCATCTTCCGGCTGTGGCTGTCCTGGGGAGGCTCCACCTCAGGCACTGGAAAAAGCAGGATGAGGGGTGGAAGAGAGGAGCCTTGGGGTTTCCCTCCTTTTAAGCCCTCACTCTGTCCGGGAGGGGAGGGGAGGGGAGGGCATGAGGAGCGGGGATGAGTGTAGACCAGGACTCAGTAGTCCTCGAAGAGAATCGATCTCTGAGCTGAGCCACAGCAAGAGTCTGGTCAGGGCAGAAGTGGACAAGAGGCCCAACAGGTTGGAAGCCAGGCATAGGAGACTCACCAGTCGTTTTTATACTTAAGGATGCAAAGGAATGGACTGGCACGGAGATCCTGCAAGCGAAGCAAGTGGTCAGCGACTCGGCCCAGGCCCCTCGCCTTCCCTCTATACCCCATCCCGACCACGCCCTACCCACCCTCCAGCAGCCCCGCCCCTTACCGGCTCTCCTCGCCCTCCAGCAGCTTCCGGTAGGTGGCGATCTCGATGTCCAGGGCCATCTTGACGTTGAGGAGCTCCTGGTACTCGCGCAGGTGCCGCGCCATCTCCTCCTTTAGCTGCCGCAGCTCCTCCTCGAGGCGCGCGGCGCCCGCCTGGTACCCGCCCGCCTCCAGGGCAAACTGCTCCTCCAGCTCCCGCAGCTGTCTGAGCAGCGCCTCGTTCTGGGGGGGAAGAGGGGGTCAGTGGGGGAACAGCCTTCATCGTCCAGCCCCCGGGCCCGGGCGCGCAGCCTGGTACTCACGGTGCCGCGCAGCCCGTCCACCTCGCACGTCAGGCTCTGGATCTGGCGTCGGGACTCGTTCATCTCCTGCTTGGCCTGGCGCAGGGCCTCGTGGTTTCGGTTGGCGGCGTCGGACAGGTCCGCGTACTGCGGAGTAGGGAGCAACCCGGCTGTGAGAGGACTGGATGCGCCCTTCTCGCAGCGCCCCACCCTCCCGGGCCCCCCAAAACCCTTCTGGGCTCTCGCACCTTGGACTTGTACCACTCCTCTGCCTCCTGCAGGTTCTTCGCTGCGATGCTCTCGTACTGCGCTCGGATGTCCCTCAGCGCCGCCGTCAGCTCGGGCTTCACGGTCGCCTCCACCTCGACCTGCTGCACCTGCTGGCTCTCCACGCTCACCTGCAGGTCTCGCAGCTCCTGCCGCCCGGGGCAACAAGACGTCGAGTTCCCGGCGCGGATCCCACGTGGGCCGCGCAGTTCGCGCACAGAAAAGAGAAGAAACACTTGAATGAACAGAAGGGGGCGCCAGGGAGTGCACGCACGTAGGACTGCGCCCCGCCAGCGCTGAGCCAGCCGCTAGATTACGCTGCTCGCCACCAGGTGGCGCAGGGGTGGGAGTCAAACCACCTGTAGAGGGGGGTTGAGGGGCTGCGTTTCCGCAGCGAATCTCACTTCTCGTCCTCAGGGCGATTCCTCCGCTCCACCCGCCGGTCTCCTCCAGAGCTTGTCTCCTTAGCTCCAAAGAGACCACCCCCAACTTCCGAAGCCTTGCCTGACATGCGGGTCCACCCACCTCCTCGTGCAGCTTCTTGAGGAACTCGATCTCATCCATCAGAGACTCAATCTTGCGCTCTAGCTCCAGGCGGGACAGGGTGGCGTCGTCCACGTCCTTCACGGGGTGGCAGTGGGGATTCAAGAGCAGGAAGGCGCTGCTCAGGCCGAGGAAGGGCCAGGCCCTCTCTGTTGGCCCCTGGAGGCATCTGGTCGCTTCCTGCGCCCACAGATGCCACCCTGGATCCGCAGGCGAGAGGGGGGCGGGGGGGCGGGGCGGAGCACGACGGGGGGCCCGGGCTCACCTTGCGGAAGAGCACCAGGTTGTGCTCCGCGTCCTCCCGCTTGCGCGTCTCCTCCTCCAACCTGGAAGGAAGAGTGAGCAGAGGCTGAGCTGGGGGTCGCCGCCTAGCTCTCAGAGTGCGCCCTCAGGGTCTGGTTAGAGGCTGCTGCTGCCCAGGACTTTGAGGAGGGGTCTTCAGGCTGCCTGACGGAATTGCCCCCGTTTTCTCTCTAACGAGGGAGGAGCTGAGATGGGCCCCTTTATATACAGGGGAGACATAGGAACTCCCCCTCCCTCACTTCCCCAGAGACTCAGCAAAGTGGTAGAGGGAGGGCGGGGGCTTGGAGCCCGCGGGCGAGGATGCTGCCTGCACCCGCCGGGGTTGGCAAGGGGAGCCACTCCCTCAGGCGGCTGGTGGGGAGGGGAGGAGAGGGAGAAGCAGCCGCCTCGACGGCCGCCGCCCAGCCCGGGCCCTGGCCCCTGACCTCTGCTTGAGCGCCGCCAGGTCCTCCGTCAGCCCGTCGCGCTCCACCTGCACCCGGTCGCGCTCGCGGCCCAGCAGCTCTAGCTCCCTGCGCAGCTCGCGCAGCTCCTGCTGGCACAGCTGGTCGGCGCGCGCCGGCTCCTGGCCCCGGACCTGGCTCAGCTCCCCGCGCAAGGCCGCGTTCTGCTGCTCCAGGAAGCGCACCTTCTCAATGAAGTTGGCGAAGCGGTCGTTGAGCTCCTGCAGCTCCTGCTTCTCGTTGCTGCGCGTGGCCAGGAACTCCTGGTTGAGGGCCTCGGCCATGGAGAAGTCGAGGCGCTCCGAGGGCAGGCGCAGGAGGGTGCCCGCGCCCGCCCTGGGACCGCGGAAGCTGCCCAAGCGCACGGAGGAGCCGGGGGATGCGGAGCCCAGCAGGCGGCTGCTCGAGAAGCGGGAGCTGGACGAGTAGGAGAAGGCCCCAGGGGACAGTGAGGGCGGTGGCCCGAAGGTGCGGCGGTATGAGGTGGAACTGACGCCGGCCCGGAGGCCCGACGGGTGGCTCATGGCGGCCGAGGATGGGCAGTTGGCGGAGGATGGCAGAGCTGGTCCGGGAGCTGGGAAGGAGCCGCAGACCGCTGCGAGGCGGCTTTATAGCTAGCCCTGCGGGCTCGGGGGGGCACGGGCAGCTCCTCCCACTGGCCTGATGCGGGGCTATGTGGGGAGGGGGACGCCCCACCCCTGCGGAGCAGCAGGAGCGCCGCACCCTCCCTCCCTGGTTGCTGGCGCCCTGCCTACTTGATTCCCCCTGTTGCTGGCTGGGAAGAAAGCAGGGATGGCGACCACAGGCGGGCAGGTGTTGGGGGTCGGCGCCTTCCAGCAAAGCGTCCAGAGCTGAGCCTAGGGTGCAAGGGCCTGAGAGGAGCTGGGGTCCCTGCCTAAGAAAGCTGGGTAAAAATTGGGGGGTAGGAGGACTGGAGGTTAAAGGGCAGGCTTCTGGCACGTAAGTAGGAAGGAGGTGGCCCAGATGGATGGAGAGGTGGCCTGCTTTAGGCCCCAGAGCCTGTGCCTCCACTTGTCGCTGAAGGCTAGGCTCTGCTTTCACCTGCTGTCAGCTGCCCACTCCCTCACCACGCCCAGGGAGAAATGGGGGCCAGGAGGGCAGAGGCAGCTGAGGGGGTGGGGAAGGGCTGATCTCTGTAATCCCCAGGGCCCTGTGGAGGGCTGCTGCCTGGCGCCAGCTCTGCGCTAATGGACTGGCCATTTCCCCTCCCCCTCCCCTGGACATTTGGCCAGGGGGTTGCCTGCTGATGTCTCCGCCTTAAAGACACAGCTCCCAAACCTGGGCCTTCCCCAGGCGCCAACAGGGTGGGCACATCAGAGGGGTGTGAGGGTGCCTAGGCCCAGCTCTGGGTCCCACCTGGGAGAGTCTGTGCCCTGCCGGCGGCTGAGCTGAGTGAGCCGGTTATATGCTGTCTGGCTTTACTGGATTCTCCCTTCCCCCAACCAACTGCTGCTCAGTCATGGGCCTTACGGGAACCAGGGTGATTCCTGAGGTAGGCAGGGGAGGGGGCTGAGGGGTGGCAGCCGCTGCCAAGGCTGAGAGATGGACGGGCTGGCAGGAACCGGTTTCCCGTATTGAAGAGTTGCAGGTACCCAGGGAAGGGAGGGGCTGGATGGGGAAGAGATGGGGAAAGAGAAGGTGTCCATCCCCAACGGTCCAGGGACTGAAAGAGGAGAGAGAAGGCCACAGAACAGATCCACAAGCCTGTGCACACAGATGCATATGTACACCTATGTGCACACACATCACACACACACACATACCACCACACATCCCTTCCTACCCTCCCCCACCCGGGAGTTAGCAGAAGTCTAATGTCTGGCCTTTGCATGTCAAACGGCTTCCAGAACGCAGGCACAGGCTGCCCAGGTGTGGACAGAGGCAGCTCGGATGGTGTGCAGGAGCCGGGGTGCTGCAGCCCGTTGGGTTTGCCAGACGCCGTGGGGCTGCTGCCGCCGGGGACTCCAGGGCCCTCCAGTAGGGACAGGTCCGCCTCGGATTGGCCCTGAGGACAAGAGCTGGGTGACTGGGGAGGCAGATTTGGGACTCTGGGCTGGATCTCTGGCTGAGGGGGTGAGGAGGGCGGCTCCCTGGCAGGCCAGCTCCTCGGCATTGCAGGGCAGAGGAGCTCCCCTGCTTTCTGTGTCCTCTGGGATGGGCCAACGCCCGCCCGCCTGCTCGCATCCCTACCGCCTTCGTCTCCTCTCCAGGCCCCTCCTTTCTTCCGGGCCATTAGTCTCTCCCTGCACAGCTGCCAGGTCCTTCTACTTGGTGGGTCTGGTTTGGTTGCCAGGGGAATGGGAAGAGGGAGGACGGGAGAGAGGGATGGATAAGCCAGGGCCTGTCCCCCCTAACTCCTGGGAGTGGGGCAGGGCAGGGTCCTGCCTAGGCTGGGGGTGGGGGGCTTGGCAAGTATAAAAGAGGGCTGGGGAATCCTTGCTGCTTTCTGCCGCAGCCCTGGGCTCTGAGCCCCAGCTGCCGTTGGCCTGGAGCCCAATCCACCCCAGCCTAGGCCCCGCCCTTGCCTGCTGTCCTCCAGGAGCAAACTGGGAGTCTGAACTGGTACCGCACACAGAGAGGCGGGCAAGGCCTGGGGAGGACCAGCTCAGGCCCTGTCTTTATAGGAAGCTGCTGGTAGACCCGGGGCCTTTGAGAGTAGAGGCCTCTGGGCTGGGCCCGGGGAGTTCCAGGTGGGGTTCCCATCCCCTCCTCTGCTTAAGCTACCAGCTTACCACCCAGATGCCTCAGAGGGCACGGGACCGAGGCCTCCTCAGCAGGGCTCTGGGAGTTGTGGAGGAGTCAGGCAGGGGCCTGGGGAGGGGAACCAGGCCTGCTGGCAAGGCAGAGGAGACTCCTCCCCTTTACTCAGAAAGAGCCAGGCCTGGGAGATCTGGGGGCCAGAAAAAGGGAAGGAAAGGGTCACTGTAAAGAGTCAAGGCTCTGGCATCCAGCTGCCAAGCTCCCTGTCTGACTCCAAAACTCTCTATTGTATGAATTTAGGCTCATTACTCTGTCTTTCCTTGTCCTTCAGTAAAATGGGTATAATTATAGCTTCTGCCTCATAGTGTTAGGAAGATTAAATGGATAAATGTGTAAAATACTCAGGACACACATAATAAAGGCTGAAAATGTAAGATAATTTTATTATTATCACTACTACTTCTATTATTATTAATTTTTTGAGTGATATTGTCAGCTCTGAGTGCAGTGAGGATCCAGACTTCTTCTGGATTCTCCCCACTAGTGGCTGAGAGCAGTGCTGGACCCAGGGTGGAAGTAGCCAAGTACTTTCCGGCTGATGGAGGGAGGGGAAGCTAGCCTCATCCTTTCTCTGTCCTGGGCAAATAGTGTATCGATCAAGAGTGGACTCTGGACGGACTGCTGGGTTCCATCACGGCCCCTCAGCTTTAATTAGCTGCGTGCTCTGGGTTTGGCTGAGTGATTTAACCTCTATTCACCCCATTTTCTTGATCCATAAATGGGGTGATAATAATAGTATCATAGAGTTGGAGGATAAATGAGTTATAAGGTGTGAAGCCCTTTGTGCGTGGCACATAGTACGTCCATGTAACTATTAGCCAGTGTTATTTTTGCCCCTGCTGCTCTGCCGCCCTGCTGCTCTGCCGGCCTTGGTGAAGGCTCGGAGAGAAATGACAATTGGACACATTCAGAGGTTTGCAAGGCAGGTGAGCAATGAAGTTTAGGTTACTGACAAGGGTGCTACCGAATGACGGGCCACAAACTCAAAGCTGGTTGAGGAGGCGGGTGTCAGCAAGAGAGAGAGGGAGATTGGCAGAGTAAAGAGGTCCAGAGCTGGACTCTTGATAAGATTCTCAGGCATTTCTAAGAGAGTGGGCATGTGAGGCTAAGGTGGAATGGAGGAAAAGGCCATAGGAGAAGAGATCAGGCTGCCAGTCTGGGCACTTACTAGCTGTGTGACTCTGGGCAAATTACTTGAACTCTCTGAGCTTCAGTTTCTTAGTCTGTAAAATAGGGATGATGACACCTCCTCCCAGGAATGTTGTGAGATTTAATAATAATACTATTTAGTAATAGTACTATTACTATTCCCATTTTACAGTTGAATAAACTGAGGCACATAGAGGTTAAGCAACTTGCCCGAGGTCACACAGCTAGTAAACTAGTAATATGTTTATATGTCTGACTCCCCCCTCCCTGACAATATGATCTTTGAGAGCAGTGGTCAGGTCTCTTTTGCCTTTGTGTCTGTGGTGTCTAGCACAGGACTCAGGTCAAACAAATGTTAGCTAAACTGAAGGCAACCCTGAGGCAGCTGGAAAAAAATCTTTCCTGAGGTTGTCAGTCTGGAAAATATAGAGATGTATTGCTGCCACCTTCTGGCCAGAAGCTGGAATGACATGACTGCACTCTGCGTCTAAGACTCAAGGCTCGGGAAACGTTGGATTTGGGGAATGCTTCAAAATTATTTATTATGACCCCCTTTTTACAGATGAGGAGAATTATCCCAGGGTGTGTAAAATAGAATAGCAGCATTAGTCCTAGGAGTTCATAGCCCTGATTTCATTCTTCCTTGGACTGTAGGAGCCTCCTCTGCCCCCCCAGAAGCCAAAAGCCAGGGAAGGAGGGCAAAATCTGTCCTCAACACCCCCACCCTCACCCACAACTGTGTCTACAGTCTCCAGTCCTGCCATCACCATAAAATCGCATCTCCATCTGCCTGACCCGTCCAACCAGCTCCCCCTCAACTGGAGAACAGGAGAGTAGCTTACGGCCACAGAATGCTAAGTGAACCGTCCTTCTCATGGTGTGGCCTGGGGACCTGACTCAGAGTCACTTGGGGGCCTGTTAAAAAGCAGATTCCAGTGCTCCACTCAGATCTTCTGAATCTCTAGAATCTGCATTTTACAAACTTCCTAGATGATTTTTAATGCACATGAAAATTTGAGTATACCTAGATTAAGTTTTTTTCTTTAAATTGTCCATCTTTTCCCCCATTTTATTTTGAAAGATTTTCAAACCCAGAGAAAAGTTGAAAGAATGCTCCTATGAACACCAATACACCCTTCTCCCGGATTTACCGATTCTCAATATTTTGCCACAATTCCATTGAAAGTCAGTTTCAGACATCATGATATTTCACCCCTAAATACTTAAGCCTGCACCTCTGAAGAACAAGGACATTTTCCTACATAACCACAGTACTATTAACCCACTCAAGAAATTTCACATTGATACGACAACATTATCTCACATACAGTCCATATTTAAATTCCCCCAACTGTCCCAATAATGCCCTTCATCACTACTTCTCCCTAATCCAGGATTCAAAGATCAAGAATTACATTTGGTTGTCGCCTGGGAGAGGGAGGAGCCAGAGCACAGGGGTAAGGCTGGGGTGAGTTTGGCCTCTGAGGAATTGGAGAGAGGTGGGCAAGGCTGGAGCGAGGTGGGGCGGGGAGGAGAAAGGGAAAGGTGAGTTTAGAGGAGTGGAAAGAGTCAGAGCACGTGGGGCTTTGTAAATCAGAGTAGAATTGATGGCTTATTTTCAATGCAATGAAAAGCCATTGGAGGGTTTTAAGCAGGGGAAAGACTTGATCTGATTTATGACTTTAAAAGGTCAATCTGAAGACGGTTTCAGAATTGGGACATTCTATAAGACAATGATTCCTAGATTCTTTAAGAAGTCAACACCATTTTTTTTTTTAAATGGGTGTATTAGTTTCCTAGGGATGTTATAAGAAATTATGACAAACATGGTGGCTTAAGACAATGGAAACTATTCTCTCACAGTTCTGGAGGCTGAAGTCCGAAATCACGAAGTTGGCAGGGCTCTACTCCCAAAGGCTAGGAGAGGCTCCTACCTTGCCTCTTCCAGCTTCTGGTGGTGTTACTTGGCTTGTGGCTGTGTAACTCTAATTTTGCCTCTGCCTTCACATGGCCTTCTCCCCCTCTGTGACTGTTTTCTCCTTCTTATAAAGACACTTGCTATTGGATTTGGGGACCCAGGTAATCCAGGATGATCTCAAGATCCTTGACTACATCTTGCAAACAGTCATTTTCCAAATAAGGTCACATTCACAGGTTCCACCATCAACCCACTACAGTGGGGGATTGTTCTAGACAAGAAAGAGACTAAGAGATGTAACAACTAAATGCAATGTGCAAACCTAGATTGGATCCTGCATTTGAAGGAAAAAAAGGCTCCTGGAGAAAGTTGTGTATTATATGCTATGGAATGATTATTCCTGTTTTTGGGTGTGAAGATGGGAATGTGGCTGTGTAAGGAAATGTTCTTGTTCTTAGGAGGTGCCTGCAGGAGCATTTCGGGGTGAAGTGTCATGATGTCCACAACCCCTTTCTAGCGGGTCAATCCCATTGTCTCTGATGTCCTGGTATAAGGCGGTGGCTCTGGCTACGGGGTGAGTGAGACCAAGAAGAAGAGTTGCAGAATTAGTCACACCACTTATCAGAATAGAACCTGGGCTCATCCTGGTCTCCACTTGATCCTGCAGGTCTCTTATAAGCGACTGTGCCTGGTGAGAGTGTCTCCCCACTGCCTCTAGGTGTCCCACATTTGGAGAGACCGTGGAGCCAGAACTTCCCTCTCCCTCAGCCTGTGGTCTCCACATGGAGTTGGCCTTGCCCATCAAACACGAGTGCATGGGGTCTCCGGAACCAGCCTCATTCCCTGGCAGCTCCCTCACAGGCTCAATGCCTTTCAGAAGCAGAGTTTAGGGGCTGGCCCTGTGGCTTAGCGGTTAAGTGCATGCGCTCTGCTACTGGCGGCCCAGGTTCGAATCCTGGGCGTGCACTGATGCACCGCTTGTCTGGCCATGCTGAGGTGGCGTCCCACATACAGCAACTAGAAGGATGTGCAACTATGACATACAACTATCTCCTGGGGCTTTGGGGGAGGAAAAATAAAAAAGGAGGAGGATTGAGAATAGATGTTAGCTCAGAGCCGGTCTTCCTCAGCAAAAAGAGGAGGGTTAGCATGGATGTTAGCTCAGGGCTGATCTTCCTCACAAAAAAAAAAAAATAATAATAATAATAATAATGGAAGTGGAGGGAGGAGCGATGAGGGGTGGGTAGAGAGGGGGGAAGGGAGGAAGATTAGAGGAAACCGCGTGGGCCAGAAAAGGAGAACAAGCCTCTCAGGGACCCAAGGGCCCCCACACAG